GCCCCACCCTTATACCAGCACATCTGACCCAGGGGACATGCAATTCACTACTCTGGAAGAAACATTCTTGCTCATCATAACTATACACTTAGCTTCTTTGCTTTTTAACCAGGAGAAGAAAAGAATATTTTCAAGGAAATTTTGCTTTTTCACTATATAATCAATAGAGCCCCCCCCCCCCTTTTTCACCAGAACCCTTGACCCTGGGGCCATGAAATTCACAATTTTTGAAGAGGCATCCTTGTGTATCATAACAATGTACTTAATTTGTTAAAATAATACCCAGGGGCAGAGAAGAAGATTATCAAATAAATAGTTCACCTTCACTATAGGATCTATATAGCCCCACCCTAACACCAGAACCCCTGATCCTTGGGCCATGAATTTCACAATTTTGGAAGAGGCATCCTTGCTCATCATAACAATTTACTTAGTTTGTTTAAATAATACCCAGGAGCAGAGAAGAAGATTTTTAAACATAAATGCATTTTCACTCTATAATAAATAGAGCCCCGCCCTAACACCAGAACTCCTGATCCGGGGGCCATGAAATTCTTAATTTTGGAAGAGGCATCCTTGCTTATCATAACTATGTATTTAATTTGTTTAAATAATACCCAAGAGTAGAGAAGAAAATTTTCAAAGAAATAATGCACTTTCACTGTAAGATCTGTATAGCCCCGGCCTAGCACCAGAACCCTTGATCCTGGGGCCATGAATTTCACAATTTTGGAAGAGGCACTCTTGCTTATCATAACTATGTATTTAATTTGTTTCAATAATACCCAGGAGTAGAGAAGAAGATTTTCAAAGAAATAATGCACTTTCACTATATGATCTACATAGCCCCACCCTAGCACCAGAACCCCTGACCCTGGGGCCATGAGTTACACAATTTTGGCAGAGTCATTCTTGCTTATCATAAATATATATTTAATTTGTTTAAATAATACCCAGGAGTAGAGAAGAAGATTTTCAAAGAAATAATGCATTTTCACTATATGACCTATATAGCCCCACCCTAGCACCAGAACCCCTGACCCTCGGGCTATGAATTTCACAGTTTTGGTAGAGTCACTCTTGTTTATCAGAACAATGTATTTAATTTGTTTAAATAATACCCAAGAGTAGAGAAGAAGATTTTCAAAGAAATAATTCATTTTCACTATATGATCTATATAGCCCCAGCCTAGCACCAGAACTCCTGACCCTGGGGCTATGAATTTCACAATTTTGGTAGTCACTCTTGCTTATCATAACTATGTATTTAATTTGTTTAAATAATACCCAAGAGTAGAGAAGAAAATTTTCAAAGAAATAATGCACTTTCACTATAAGATCTGTATAGCCCCGGCCTAGCACCAGAACCCTTGATCCTGGGGCCATGAATTTCACAATTTTGGAAGAGGCACTCTTGCTTATCATAACTATGTATTTAATTTGTTTAAATCATACCCAAGAGTAGAGAAGAAGATTTTCAAAGAAATAATGCACTTTCACTATATGATCTATATAGCCCCAGCCTAGCACCAGAACCCCTGACCCTGGGGCTATGAATTTCACAATTTTGGTAGAGTCACTCTTGCTTATCATAACTATGTATTTAATTTGTTTAAATAATACCCAAGAGTAGAGAAGAAGATTTTCAAAGAAATAATGCACTTTCACTATTTGATCTATATAGCCCCACCCTAGCACCAGAACCCCTGACCCTGGGGCCATGAATTTCACAATTTTGGTAGAGTCACTCTTGCTTATCATAACTATGTATTTAATTTGTTTAAATAATACCCAAGAGTAGAGAAGAAGATTTTCAAAGAAATAATGCACTTTCACTATTTGATCTATATAGCCCCACCCTAGCACCAGAACCCCTGACCCTGGGGCCATGAATTTCACAATTTTGGTAGAGGACTCAATGCTTATTACAATCATGCCAACAGTTTGACTGCTTGATATCCAGGAGTAAAGAAGAAGATATTTAAAGATATATCGCAATATGAAATTTTTGGCGATACACATCCCTATTTTTTACGGAGTAAAATTTTGCAATTTTATGGAACAAATTGTCACACAATTAAGCTCTAATAATCATGTAAACAGTTTGCCTGTTTAATGTCCAATGAGTATAGAGACTGAAAAAGATTTTCAAAGATATGAAATTGATTTTTCCTATATACCCAACTAAGCCCCACCCTGATGCCTGAACCATGTGCCTGGGCTACAAATTTCACAACTTGGGTTGAACAGTTTAAGTGATCATTATATTCATGTTAGTAGTACTAAACTGTTTGCTTATTTACTGTCCATGAGTAGAGCTGGAGGAAGAATTTCAAAGATATAAATATATTTCCAATATATGACCAACTAAACCCCACACAAATTTAAGGCATGAACCAAGGACCCAGGGGAGTGGGCACCTTGAAATTAAATTTAAAACTCATGTTCCCTATCACCCATAAATGCTTGGGGGGAAGGGGGGGGGGGAGTTAATGCTTACATACCAAAATTGGTTGAAAAGTTGTGGTTTCAAAGAAGAAGCTGTAAATGCATGCATGTTCAAAAGTTGATGACTGATGGACAATGCACAATGCTGGACAAATACAGATAGCAATAAGTCACCTGTGTGACTCGAAATCTAAATATAATATTTTATAATTAAATGTCCTATTTGCACTATTCTCATCAGCAAACTACTTTCCCTGATACCATTATTATAAATTTCAGTTAAAATACCTCTAATTCTTAAAAGACAGGATTTAATTACGATCAATTGACTGCAGCAGTTCTCATTCAAATTACTATCTACAACATTTTGTGAAAAAAAATTAGGTGTCATGATATAAACGCATTCAAACCTTGATGTTTACATCTGCAAAATATATGTATCAATTGCTGATAATTTAACAAAAGTTCCTTTTTTACACACTGATTTGATCATGAGACTAATTTTCACTTCATCTATTATTTCTTTGAAATGATAGTTCAGATGCCCTTAATCATGCATTCCTACTCTAAAGTTTATAAGTATCCCTGCAAATATTTTTTTTATTGATAACGTACTAACATTTCATTAATTTATCCGTAGGCTTGTAATCCTTGATCATCCTTTACCAATCCTAATACATTTCTTTAAAAAAAAATAATTGATATATCTCATTTCCGCTCTCTCATTTCCTGCATTCACAAAGCAATTTAAATCTCACTTTTTTAATAAATGTAAGATTTTTTTCTTTTCGGGATAAAAAATAATTTGATGAATCTTATCCTCTGGAGTTTAAAGAAAAAAATATTTATGCAAGCCATTTTGATCATGTTCTGGCTGTACTGATCATCAGAAAGAAGGAGAAAAATGGAGCCAGATTGGATTTTCCCCTGCTTTGATAAATTTCCTAGAAATCTTTTGAAAATTTATGAATTAAAGGGGGAAAAAACCTTTTTTGCCAAGAAATTGAATTTATTTCAACAAATAACTGCTCTTTAAATTTTATCTTGAGCACTCTCTTCAACAGCCTCGTTTCAATATAATTGAAAACCCTTTATTCTGTTCTTCTTTTAATTCAGAAAGCGCAGACATATAGTTATGAAAACTATTAAATCCCTGATTTTCATGCATTTAAAATTATTTCTCTACCAGATACAATATAGTCTACATTTCCTTACTGAGCTAACGACTGAAGATTGACACAAACATTATCACTTCAAAGTGTGATTTAATTAATATCGGATTTCAACTGCAAGTTCCCGTCAAAGACTATAATGCCTCTTTTCTGACATATTAATCTAACAACAGACTTAATCAGAAGAGAGAACCACACAACAGAGAACTCCATTAAAGGTATGCAAACAATGCAACAATATCATTTTTTTTGTTTGACATTACTTTGAAATTGGCATACTATTTTCTTCCAAATTCCAAAGGTAAATTCATTAAATTATAATTCGACGGATGGATTGAGTTTCTTTATTCCAATTAATGCATGTAGATACTGGAAAACCAGAAATAATTCTTTATGAATAACTCATACTTTAACAACACATATTTTTTCCTTGCAACAATATGTCGAACTAAATTTATAATTTCACTCCAATGTAAAACTGATAAAATAATTTGTTTTATATGATAATATTTTTGCATTCAAAGCCTAACCAGTGTAGCAAGAAATCTGCTTTGACCCGTGATATGCATACAAGACCTTCAATTTAACAAATTTCCCATGAGCACCTATACAGGTTTGATGCTACGTTTTGCAAAAAAAAAAAAGTGATTTCAGTCTCTGACTCCTAAAACAATTATATTACATAATGCGAGAAACAATGGAAATCATCTATTGCCTGACTTTTTATTTGCATAAAGGTGTCTGATTTCATTTGAGATTTGAAATATTCCGACAAATTCCTGGAAGCAAACATGTATTTTTCAGGTTACAGACTTAAAAAGACAAAAATAGACTCATGGGGTACATACTAAAGGTAGATAGACAAACAGATATACTCATTTGCAAGAAAGACAAAGAGAGGTACTATAATTACATGAGGGAAAAAGTCTGACAAGGTACTTACATGAGAAGGAGGAAAAGACACAAACGGTACTTGCATGATGGGAAACTACAAACAGGGTACTTGCATGAAGGAAGACACAAAGATTATTAACATTCAAGGAAAAGTGCACATTATACAATAAGGTAATTTATAAGGAAAATAGACAGAGTTCTTACAATAGGAGAAAAGACAAAAACAAGGTACATCTGTACCTGCATGAGAGAATATGACATAAAAACTGGGTATTTTTATATCTTACTTGAGGAGGAAGAAACCCAAATTGGATACTCACATGAGGGAAAAAACACAAAGACAGGGTACTTACATGACAGAAAAAGACACACAAACAGGGTACTTACATGAGGGAAATGACACATAGACAGGGTACTTAAATGATGGATATAGTCTCACAGAAAGTATTTACATCTTGGACACACTTACACATATTAGGTACTTACATCATGGCTTCCCATTCCAACATCTTCAATGGCCAGTCCTAGTTTCTTATTCACCTCATCCTTTATGTTCTCTGCAATCAAGCAATGAAATTTTATTATCAGAAGTCCAAAGCTTTAGGGTTTTGGATTTTAATATTTCACCTGTTCCTGAATATGCACTTATCTTCTTTTTTTATCCAAACTGAATGTACTACATCTAAGGAATTCATAATTCAGAGTTATTGTCCCTCTCCCCTGCTTTCTTCATCAGCCTCTTCATTCCCTTTCTTTCCTTTCTACCTTTGTAGCCCCTATTCCCCCCCCCCTTCTTAAGTGCTACCCCTCAATCTACACCACCCCAAAAGCAAGCATGCAAAAGGAATGAGAGGCCACTGTACCATCACACTTTTCAGACAGACAAGAGACAATATTATACAAAGAGGTATAGTCGTCGTTACCAGTCTGTCAGCTGCCTAGGAAGTGATCAGTCAAACAAGTATGTCTATCAAGCGAAGTAATGATAAAATTGTACTCAGGATAAGCCACTATTGCTATAACAATTTTGACAAATTAATATTTTTTTAATCAAAAGTTATTTTTCACTGGATTGTCAATAGTTGCCCATAAATTTAATTAGCTATGTGTAGAAAACTGTTCCCCTGAGTACTAGTGGCAAAAAGAAATGAAAACACAGTCCATCAACCATGTCTTTTTAATAAAATTTCTCTCTAAGAAAAATGCTGCAATGGGGTTAACATTTACAAAGATTTTCCAGTGTATGGCATTGTGCAATGGATTTGGTGACAACTTTAGCATGACAGAATCTCCCTTGTTGCAAATAATGCAACAGAAGAATTCAAAAAATCAATTGATTCTTCTCTCTCTCTCTCTCTCTCTCTCTCTCTCTTGAATGTTGGATGCTGTGACTTCATCATTAAGGGACATTACTCTTTACCACTTAATCAAACAAGAAAAGGAAACTGGGACAAAACAAATTAATTTAAAACCATTGTTGTTTATTGCTACACATGATATTCAATCCCCAGTCTACTGAATTGAACTAGCACAACTTTTTCTTATATAAAAAATAAATTTAACAAAACAATTTATAATACTATGAAATAAATCCACAAAAAAGCAATATATATGTACATGTATATAGTCAATGAATTTTGAAACTGTTTAGTAATTAAAGTCTTAATCATTTTGGAACACCTCAAATATATCACACGGTTTCTTTAAAGAGGTTGGCTTAATTGAATAGCCAATGGATGGCCAAAATCAACTACAGTCAAACCTCATTTATCTCGAACTCAATGGGACCGAGAAAATACTTTGAGATATCCAAGGGTTTGAGATACTTAAGGAATAAACGATTGAGATTTCCAAATCACTTCGACATATCCATGGTATTCGAGATATCAGTGTTCGAGATACCGAAGTTCGACTGTATTTAAAAAATACTTGCGTAAATTATAAACTAGAGTGAGCTTGATATACGGAGTTTACATTATGGAATATTCAAACCAGTTAAAAGAAAATTGACTTAACATCCAAAATATACAATCATATCTTTGAAGTATACAATGATTCCAACTGCCACACAAAGAACATTATATATTTTAATCTTCCTTATTTCATATGTTCAGTTTAAAATTGTGATGTATCATTATCAGAATTAAATACCTGATTAGGAGCTAGCACAATTGACAGTAAATATATTACTACAGTCAAACCTGTATTAAGAGACCTTCCAACGGAGAAAGGAAAAAAGGTCACATATGACAGGTGGTCTCTTAATACAGGTTGCTTATTTCCAGCAGTGTTCAAATATACAATGCTGAAAATATTACATGTGTATGTGGAATGTATTTCATAGGTACTGCTCAACTCTAAATGCTTTTATATTATAGGTACAATTGTCCTGTTCAGTAATAAAATTTGCTTGATCTGCACATGAGTAATTTGATTATTGGGAAATATTGTGAACATCTGAAAATATGAAATGGTTTTTATACAGTATAAAAAAGCTGCATAGATTTTTTCTAATATTTTATTTTTTGTTTTGTTTTGTTTTTTTACATGATAGCTACCTATGTTTTGCAAATTACTAAGAATTAAAACTGTATCATGATTTTTGTTATGCACTTGGTAACAAGTTATATTTATGACTAAAAATTTATTTTTACCTAATTATTTTTTTTTTCATTACTGAACTACCACGTCTAATTGGCTGTTTGTCACCTACTTCAATCACTTCAATTATCACCTGTTACGGGTGCTAGCTAGCGTGTGTTTACTTACCCCGTTGGTGACACAATTCACTTAAATAAACATCTAGGATTTAGTTTCTTGTTAATTAAAAGTTAAACAGACAGGTTTTATAGCTGAATCTCCATTTGCCCATTATAGCACGAAATGATATCGGGATCGACCTCGAACGTCTATTTTCAAAATGGCACTCGATCATTGGAGAGAAAAAAACCTGAATGTTTATGTATTAGATTTTAATGTTTATTCAATAAATATCAAAACGTAAGTAAAAATATTTATTTTGAAATGTTGTTTTATTCCTAAAACTCGCATTATATAATTATTAGATAAAATAAATGCGTGTCTGTAGATGTTTTGAACCAAAAAAAAAAACGTAGCATGCTCGACCGAAATCGAAAGTAGGAATCGGAAATTATATAGTCGTTAAATCCAGGTAAAATTGCCTGAAATTACAAAAAACGGTCAGGAAAATCACGGTCGCTGGTCGCGTTAGACAGGTGGTCGTTTAATACAGGTATAATATAAAGGGAAAAGTGTTGGGAGGAATTCTTACGGTCACATATGACAGTGAGTCGCTTAATACAGTGGGTCGCTATGGCAGTTTTAACTGTATATTAAGCATACATATAGATTTAACATATATAAAACTTGCCATTCTTAGAAATTCATGTTTTCATTTCTGGGAAGATTTGAACACAGTATTTTCAGTGCATATGGATGAGTAATATACAGAAAAAGCTTATGCCAATTATTGATTCCAATTTGGGAAATTTTTTATCCTCTCATAGCCTGAGGGGTAAGGGGGCAAGGTGTCCTCTTTCCCATTAATTATTTACCATTTTTATCCTCAGCATGACTTCAAACTCTCATCTCATCATTTATTGAAATTAATAGTGCCTACAAAAAGAGGGTTTTTTTTTTTGGGGGGGGGGGGGGGGGGGGGGGCTTTTTATAGGTAGTAGTGAATAAATTTTAGTCTTAATGAAACATCAACTAATATTTTTTTTTTTGAAGGAGGACATGGGGGAAGGGGGTTCCCAGCTGGTGAATCATAAACATAGGTTTTAACTTTTTTTGAAATAATATTTCTGTTTGAATTTCAGAAGAAGAATTCTCCACCATGCAATTTTTTTTCTACTAAAACATATACATTAATATACTGAAAAAAGTTCCACTAAATTGCCAAGATGAAATTGCACCTATGAAGTAAATATTTTAACTCAAAAGAAAACGACTTGATACTTAATCTATTTATGAGATATAGCTTGAGCCCCAATCAGAAATCTCGGACAAGACTGTAGCTCTACTGGTTCATTCTTGTAATAAAGGGAGAGAAAAATGTAGCACCCGAACTTGAAATTTATAAAGTAGCTTTGACAACATCGATTAATAAAATTTTGATCCTAAGTTGTTTAATCTATTGTGAACCAAGTTTTACTAAAATTCAACCAAAACTGTCAGAGGGTAAGCATTTTCTCATGATACTACATATTCTTCTATTTCTATTTTAAGTAACAACTGTAAGATTGTTCCTCAAAATTATAAACTTATTTATGCCATTGTGTGCACTAATCTGTGTAGTCTATACTTGACTGTGTTTCAAGTTTTACTGAAATGAAAAGACCAGGCAAAACTTTTTAAAAGAATTTCACAGGAACTTCCATTCTAGTAACTGTCAGAACACCCTACATCAAAATCAAAGACCAACAAGAAGCTTGTGAGCGAATGCTCACTAGTAATACCCCCGCCCTGATGTGAATATACGGTTACCCTCTCATGTTGACATTGAATTCGTACAAAAATGAATCCCACCATTTGGCATGCCTAAACAAAGATTGTGTTAAAATTTCAAGCATCTTTGCTGAGTAGTTGCTGAGAAAACTGTGACGGGAATTTGGTACGGACAGATGCACGAATAAACAGGAAGTTGACATCAGATTTAAACAAAAATGATTCCCACCATATGGCATGCCCAAACAGAGAGTGTGCTAAAATTTCAAGCATCTGTGATGAGTAGTTGCTGAGAAAACTGCGACGAAAAATTTGTTATGGACAGACGCACAGATAAACAGGAAGTTGCTATCTAATTCATATAAAAATAAATCCCACCATTTGGCATGCCTAAACAAAGATTGTGCTAAAATTTCAAGCATCTACGCTGAGTAGTTGCTGAGAAATATGCGACAGAAATTTGGTAAGCACAGATGCACAGATAAACAGGAAGTTGACATCAGATTCGAACAAAAAAAAATCCAACCATATGGCATGCCTAAACAAAGATTGTGCTAAAATTTCAAGCATCTGCGCTGAGTAGTTGCTGAGAAAACTGCGACCAAAATTTGTTATGTATGGTACGGACAGACGCACGGATTAACAGGAAGTTGTCATAGGATTTGAACAAAAATGAATCAGACCATATGGCATGCCTAAACAAAGATTGTGCTAAAATTTCAAGCATCTGTGATGAGTAGTTGCTGAGAAAACTGCAACAAAATTTGTTACGGACAGACACACGGACACACAGACAGACACACAAGGGTAAAACAGTATACCCCCTCCTTTGGAGCGGGGGTATAATTATGACTCTTAAGAGGAGTGGGATTTCAAAAATTTATTTTTTTAGTAAACATATAACATGGCAAGACAATAGGCCATCAACACTTAAATTTATTATGTATATCCTTCTGTAATCTTCCTGTCTACCAAGTTTTATTGAAACAGCTAGGACAGCAGGAATAATTTTGAAAAATTGTTTATAGAAAGACAGTCATCTAGACAGACAGACAGACGGATGACAGACACTTTACCCTCACATATA